CTGTGTGCGGCAGCGCGGCCACGGTCGACTCCTTGCCGACCGTCCGGCAATACTCTCCGACCAAAATGACTTATTTTAACATATTCCGACTTAATATGATCAATAAACTGAACTTAAACAGACATGGCTGATCTGACTTGTTGAACCGAACACTCAGCCGGGGTTCACTCGCTATGTGCGAGGCCTACGGCCTTCGGCCATCCCTCGGCCACATAACACGTAACGCGACCAACTCTGGACCTAACTGAACTTAACATGTCTCACAAGAACATATTCATTAAATATGACCTGAAGGTACAACAATCGCATATAGAACATAAAAGGGCCGCGGCGATCACCCGTGCGCCGCCGAGGCTATGTGCCGCCTCTCGGCCGAAATAACTTTTCCTCCGGCAACTTCAAAACAATTCAAACTGAACATAATACTGGAACAATTTTAGACTTAATCACACGGATAACATGATCATACTGAAGGCAACAACTCTCGGCCCGAAGCCACCCGAGGCCACGCGCGATAGGCGCGGGCGTCGGCTGGGCCATTTCCTCGACTATACTTCATCTATACTCAACAAGCTGATCATAATGAACATAAAATGGACTGTACTGGACATTTAAATGATCAAGGTTCGAGAGTTGACGGAAGAAAACGAAACTTGTTCGGTGATAATCTACTTAGGCATATTCGTCTTAAGCACGGTTAAATCTAAAATTCTCGACAATTAATCGAACACTTAACCTAGAAATAACTTAATTATCATGAACATGAGCTGAAGAAGAAAATACCTTTCCGATCGGTCGACGGAAATTGGAAAAATAGGTGCTTCCTTATCTTGCGTATACTCCTTGCGGACTCAACCTTGCCGTGCGTGCTTATCGGAAAATTTTGAGGGAACTACTTGGTTTAAGTTGCTGATTTTATAAGTGATATACGCTGCTGAGAGGGGCTTTAATATGCTGAAGGTGTTGGTTGATTACTTATAGGAATTTTGGAGGAGAAATTTCGGTCCAAGCATTCCTTATATACATGGCCGATGGAAAACTCGATGAGGTAGCCTTGGCGTGGCCTTATTAGGCTAATGACACTTGCTAATCTCACAATTCAAGCTTGATGACTAATCTCCCAACTTAGCCCTCCTATTAACACGTGCCATGCTCAACAAGAGAAGAAAATTTTGGTTTCCCCAATCTTAAGAAGGCTACGGCTTTTATTACTAAATGGGAGAAATATTCCTTAAGTCATGACACTTAAGCATATAG